AAAATCGACTTGAATATATAGGTGCATCTCCATTGATATTCCGGATTTTTGGATTCCGAAGTCTCCATATTACAGCATCGCAACTATTAAGGACATTTTGTCCTAGTGCCATTTTCCAAATGAAGTGGCTATAACTTGACATTCTGGGTTCTTCGGGTAAGACCGACATTTTGACATATTACGTTTGGGTAGGACCAGTTCCATTCTACGTATTTCAGGGATCCTAGGCGCCTCTTTGTTAGTTGTCAGTATCTGTCCATTTAAGGAATTTTGTTTTTAGCGACATTTTCTAAATGAAGTGGCTATACTTTGGCATTCTGGGATTTTGGTGAGTAAGGAATTTTAATAATATACCATTATTTTAAAATAAAATTTTGTGATAGAAGTTGGTGAAATTTGACACACTGGTTTCTGGATCGGTAAAAAATACCTTTGCAGCATATTTATAAGTCCATACTCTGGTAAACCCATAAATATTGCAGAAATTGTAAATACCTGGCCCATGTTTTGACCTAGTAATAAGATCGTGGTCACAGTGGTTGAAATTTGACATTTCGATAGCATAGAATGTGGCAATTATTTTCGCTGGAAATTTTCAATATATGTCGATTATTGGTATTGCTTCTATAGAAATGTCCTGTCGACGTCGCAAAATGCTTATAACGATGGTCAAGGTATCATTATAACGAAAATCGATATTAATGTAAAGCAGCGCTTATCACTGATGTATTGGATCAGCGCTGTTGAGGAATTTTTCACGTCATCCCAAAGGAAGAAGTCTCAAGGTGTTTATTCAAAGAATGTCGGTGGCAAATTTTGGTCGCCTCTTTGAAGGATAACATGGTCCGGTAATTTTTCCTATGAATGTCTTAACTTGTATTGCACGAAGCATCGTATTCTTGAAAGTATACATTTTCCATATAGATAATATCCAATTTCGATTTTTTACCATAACTGATGTCGTAACCACATTCTTGAAAAATTAATTTAATTACCTCTGCCCAGCCATAAACAGCACAAGCTGAAGATGAAGAGGTTTCTCAAAAATAACTCTAGGGGTTTCAGTGTCCCATGAGCGACAAACTTATCTTGCTGACATAGCTATGACGGTTTAAATGGGCCTCATCACTCAGGATGTTTTTGGAATTCCGGATAATTGTTCATGAATCGACAAAGAAATTACCTTGTTTCTGAAGAAACCACCGACAGGTTTTCCGAAGAATCCAGCTTCGAGGGGGTATTATTATATGCTTGTGTAGCACCCAATCTTTGGAACGCTATTATTAAAATCAACCGAACGGTACGAGTTTTTGCATGAGGAATTAGATCTGGCCAAATAAGAACCTATTTAATTTTGGTAATGATCGGTCAATATTTATCGAGTAGGGATGCGGGTATTAGTTCCAGAGAAACTTAGGCAGACCTATAAAAATTGTAATGTTTGCTCCAATGGATTTTTTTTGCTTCTGACGCATACTGAAGTGTACGTTTTCAAGTACTATTTAGAATTATAATTGTCGCTATATTTTGCCCAGACTCTGAAATTAGATCCGCAGATTTCAGTCTGAAGGTATCATATGATTGGTCCGACTATACTACTGTGATTACTGGCTATAAATATCAATGCCACACAAGAGCTCGGGATTCAGCTTCGCAGACATTTAAAGGTTGCTGGTTGTTGTTCAGGGTATCAAATGGTCGGTCCCGCCGATAATACTTCTTGGATACATTAAAGTTTAATATTTAAGCCTGAGACAAATTTGCGATGAGAAGGTATAAAAATGAAAATCTTGGAAGCATGACATCATCGAACTGTTTTTCTTTTTATTGTATTCGAAGTAATAGATTGCTTTATGAAGTAATAGATTGTTTATACAAATGTGTTGGAAAACGCAATGATTCCCTTCGTGTACCGATTGTTTGGGTGTTTCTGGAGATCTGATGACTCCAACCTATAGACAATTTTTTGTAGTATCACAGATATCAAAATAAAAATAAGTGTTTCACAAAAAAAAAAAAAAAAAAAAAACAGACAAAACCTCTTCCCAAAGGTTCAGGATTCGAGGAATAGTATAAACACGGATCAAATTGAGATTTTATTGATTCAATGCCTCGTGTGCTGCCGTAATCAAAAATAATAATTTTTTGTTCTTTAAAAGTGAACAAATTATCTATTTATTTCTGAAAAAATACATGCCATTTATTCAGTTTGCAATTTAAGTTGCATTAGTTTTGGCCACCAGTGTAGTAGTTTTATTGCATAAACCAAGAGTATTAAATTTCCAACTTATTCTCTGAGTGCATCCTTGTATGTGTGACCACCAAAATGGTACGCCATTGCCATTTCGGGTAATTTATATGACGCAAAAGAAAAAAATCTAATAACCGACTGGAACATAATAATAACAACAAAACGGCAAATAATAACAAAGTAAATAATAAACACAAAAAAACTAAAATACCATTCCACAAAAAATAATCATAAATAACGAACAACAAAAAATCAACAACAGAAACTGAAAGTAGAAAAAAGAGGAGAAGAAGGAGAATTTGGCAAAATTCAATTACCAAAAATATACCTACAACAAATTACGGGATTTAATAGCATTCCTCTATGGCTACAATACAATATTTAAGGACCACGAGAACGCATTTAACCTCCAACTAATTGCCGAACTTTGAACCCATATTGTATGTCTTTGACATTATCGATAATTGATTATTGATTCAATTTTATAATTACGCCGACTATTCGCCTAAAAGTTTTTTTTTTGGAATATGTAATTAATTGTGATATCAAATGACATTTAAATAGTCGATATTGCGGTTTCGATTACGCCAAAAAAGCATAAGGGTAGAATTTTCCATTTCATTAATTTTTGGGATATTTTTTGTGGGGGGTTTTCAGATTTTTGTGTGGCTTGTTGGGTGGGTGTTATATTTCATGGCAGTTATTTTGGTTTTTCATAGTGGCGTTTCGATAATTTGTGCTTGGTACCGTATAATTAATGTCGTAATGTATACGCCATTGTGTATAATTTGATTATTAGATGGGTGGGATGGAATTCAATTTTTGTTGTGGTGTGGAAAATTCATTTAGTAATTAATGTAAATATCTAAAAAACAATATTTAAGAACAAAAAATGTATTAAAAAATCCACGCCTAAGGGGCTCTAATGGGTGGTTGGAAATTTTTTTTTAAAAAATCCATGCCTAAGGGGCTATGATGGGTGGTTGGAAAAAAAATTCTTTAAAAAATCCACGCCTAAGGGGCTATGATGGGCGGTTGGAAAAAAATTCTTTAATAAATCCACGCCTAAGGGGCTATGATGGGTGGTTGGAAAAAAAATCTTTAAAAAATCCACGCCTAAGGGGCTATGATGGGTGGTTGGAAAAAAAATCTTTAAAAAATCCACGCCTAAGGGGCTATGATGGGTGGTTGGAAAAAAAAATCTTTAAAAAATCCACGCCTAAGGGGCTATGATGGGTGGTTGGAAAAAAATTCTTTAAAAAATCCACACCTAAGGGGCTATGATGGGTGGTTGGAAAAAAAATCCACGCCTAAGGGGCTATGATGGGTGGTTGGAAAAAAAATCTTTAAAAAATCCACGCCTAAGGGGCTATGATGGGTGGTTGGAAAAAAATTATTTAAAAAATCCACGCCTAAGGGGCTATGATGGGTGGTTGGAAAAAATTCTTTAAAAAATCCACGCCTAAGGGGCTATGATGGGTGGTTGGAAAAAATTCTTTAAAAAATCCACGCCTAAGGGGCTATGATGGGAGTTTGGAAAAAATTCTTTCCATTAAAAAAAATCACTTTTAAATAAATAAGCAAGTCTATGGGCTCAAACACTTAAAAGACTTTTAAATCTTTTTCTATGCTACAACCCCGAATATTACCTACCCAACCATTCCACCTCCAAAGCAAAACCTACTATCACCCACTTAGTAATGATAAGTATCATTTTGAATTTAACAAACCTTACCGTTTCCTCTGTTCTCCTCTGGCTTTGGGTTGTTCTTTTTCAGCGTTTTGTGCAATCAAACGTAACGATGTTTTGCCAGAACTGCTGCCATTCGCAATGATTCAAATCAATAGATAAGATAGCAAATAGAAATGGCGAATGAAACCGAAAGAAAAGTGAACGCTGATAATCAAAATCGGTTGTGGCATGAATTTTGAAAAGGATAGGTTACGGGGGAATTAAATTATAGGACAGCAAGTTTTCAAGAGAAGGGTGTTTTGTAAAGAATTTAAAAATTTTAAAATTTCTGCAGATTTATCTGAACTATAGACGGAATTTTCCTTAACTCCATCAAGAAGTCCTTAAAAAAAATTATTCTTTAAAAATTCGTTTGAAAAATTCAATCCAATTTTAGTCCTAAATAAACATTCTTTAGATAAATCCAAATATTCGATAGATATATATCCTCAGTCTATGGTTGAGGAGTTTACCATCCTTAAATATAGGTTTGGAAAAATATTACGATGCGCAAATTTTGGATCAAACCAGGTATTGCATTATCTTGATATTGGATTAACCAATTTTTAAAATGTCGACACTTTGTGGGAAAAGTAACAGAAGTTGTGGACTAACGGTTCCCAGCATTAAGCTTGATCTATGTAAGGTAGACCTGTGAAAAGTTTCGATAAAATTGGATATTGCGTTCGCTCTATATGGGATTCAAACTAAAAAAAAATAAATAATAAACAAGATATGACGATCGGTATACTTAAAGGTGGGCCCAGGACCAATATTTCGCGGCGTTACAAACTCTTGGGGTTGCACAAAGCTATAATACCCTGACAACATATTTGTGTAGGGTATAAAAACAAATACACTGATTTGCACCTCGACACAAATCAATTTTATTAACAATAAAACCCGTAGTAAAACAACCGACTCATCAAAATATCGGACACACACACACAAAATATTGTAAAAGGTCACGTGTCTATGAATGAGGTCTTCGAGTTCAATTCTAATCAGCGGCTCAAGATGTGTTTTGAAGCCGATCACTGTAAATTTGAATTCAGTTTCTCAATTAGCATCAAGACGGTCACATTTCACAAAAACGCAATGCTAATACGCTTCCGCTTTTTTCTTCCGCTGGTACTTGGTGTGTGGCAGATTCAAAGTTCTCCGGTTCAGATCAATAATGAAACTGCCGATCGTAAAACAAAAGCCGAGGAATTATTGAAATACATGAATAAAACGGTGGATCCTTGTGAAGATTTCTATGATTATGTTTGTGGCAATTATGCCACCTATAATCCGGCAACATTTGAAGAACCGGGCACGGGACTGTCGGAGACCTTGCAAAGTAAATTAGATGCGAAAATCAAAACAATTTTAAATACCGATGATAAGGATGACTCTGATGCGGATCGGAAAGTGAAAAGCTATTTTCGCTCGTGTTTGCAAATAACAGATTTGGCAGAGAAGTACCCTGCAAAGCTGCAGGAGATTATTAAAGAATTTGGTGAAATGCCAGCCTTGGTGGGTGATAAATGGCAGGAGACGGAATTCGATTGGCTTGAGGTGGTGGGCAAAATTGTCTATAAATACGGCTTGGGAATTCTTATGAAATTGGATTATTCAAAGGATTTTGTTAACAACACCGTGAGTCGTTTATATATTGCCGAACAAGATTTCGATTTACCCAGGGAGTTATATGTGGGACCAAACTCGGATAAACTTTTCGAAAGACTACCATCAGCATATGCGGTTAGATTAACAGAATTTCTTGGCATTGCGGAGGATGTGGCCTTGACAACGGCAAAGGAATTTTTACAATTTGAAAGATCCATTGCCAAGGCCATGTTTGATCAACATGCTGGCGACAAGTTAAGTGAAACTTATGTTCTGCGCACCCTAGACGAGGCTCAAGAGAAATTCGCCTCACAATTTGATATAAAACATTATGTAAAACTTGCAGTGGGTACTTTACCTTCATTGAAAATTTATACCGACGATGATTATATGGACAATATGTTGGAAGTTTTGAAAACCACTCCGAAAAAAGTCCTGGCCAACTACATTTTCTATCGCCTGATTAATGCCTTCATTATGGATATACCCGAAACCAAGAACGAACTGGAAGATACCTGTCTGACACGTATGAAAAAATATTTCCATAAAAATTTCGACAATATGGTTTATCGCAAATACAATAGCCTTGAAACGGAGCAGGGGGTCCAGGAGATGTTTACTCACATCAAGGCGGCCTTTCACAAACAACTACAATCGCCCCATTTGGATTGGTTATCGGAAGAGACTCGGCAATATGCCTTGGAAAAGCTAAAGAAAATGCAAGTGGAAATTGTTTCCTTCAAGGATACAAATTTCTCAAAAATCCTAGGACCATTGGAATTTGATAGCGAGGACTATTTGGGAAACTTAAAGAAGATGCTTTCGTCCTATGCCATTTATGATCGTAGCAATATCGGCGAAACGCCACCACCAAATGATTATGGTGAAGAATCATCCACCACACCATCCTATATTTATGTAGAGAACACAATTAAGGTTCCCGTGGTTATGATACAACCCAATTATGCCTGGTCTGCCACGTTTCCAAATGCCTTCAACTTCGGCGTCCTTGGAGCCTTACTATCCCACGAACTCATACACGGTTTTGATGGTGAAGGTCGTAACTTTGATGCCCTGGGTAATAATCGTAAATGGTGGGACACGAATTCCGATAGACAATTTAAGAAACGTTCCGAATGTTTCATCCATCAATATAAGGATTTCATTTATGCCGGTCAACATTTATCCGAAATGCCTAATCAAGATGAAAACATTGCCGATAATAGTGGCGTCCGTTTGGCCTATAATGCTTATCTCAATTGGTATGACAATAGCAGGGAGATGGAGCGAAAATTGGAATATTTTCCTGGCATGAACGAGTTCAATTATCGTCAATTATTCTTCACCAGTTATGGTTATTTATGGTGTTCAGATTTCTATTCCAAATACCGTAGAACACTGATGGCCATCGATATACATGTTCCGGATAAATTTAGAGTTTTGGGTCCACTGTCGAATTTTGCCGAATTCTCTAAGGAATTTAAGTGCCCGGTGGGTAGTAAAATGAACCCGGAGAAGAAATGTGAAATTTATTGAAGGGGATATTTTGTGTTTCTATAAATAAAAATTTGATAAAAAACAAATTTTTTGTAAATTTGGGGATTACAGGATTTTTTTTTTAATAAAATAGGGGTGGATTTTTTAAAGCATATTTTTGAGGACTAACATAGGCGTGGATTTGTTTAAAGCATATTTTTGAGGACTAACATAGACATGGATTTTTTTAAAGCATATTTTTGAGGACTAACATAGGCATGGATTTTTTAAAGCATATTTTTGAGGACTAAAATAGGGGTGGATTTTTTTAAAGCATATTTTTGAGGACTAAAATAGGCGTGGATTTTTTTAAAGCATATTTTTGAGGACTAAAATAGGCGTGGATTTTTTTAAAGCATATTTTTGAGGACTAAAATAGGCGTGGATTTTTTTAAAGCATATTTTTGAGGACTAAAATAGGCGTGGATTTTTTAAAGCATATTTTTGAGGACTAAAATAGGCGTGGATTTTTTTAAAGCATATTTTTGAGGACTAAAATAGGCGTGGATTTTTTTAAAGCATATTTTTGAGGACTAAAATAGGCGTGGATTTTTTTAAAGCATATTTTTGAGGACTAAAATAGGCGTGGATTTTTTTAAAGCATATTTTTGAGGACTAAAATAGGCGTGGATTTTTTTAAAGCATATTTTTGAGGACTAAAATAGGCGTGGATTTTTTTAAAGCATATTTTTGAGGACTAAAATAGGCGTGGATTTTTTTAAAGCATATTTTTGAGGACTAAAATAGGCGTGGATTTTTTTAAAGCATATTTTTGAGGACTAAAATAGGCGTGGATTTTTTTAAAGCATACTTTTGAGGACTAAAATAGGCGTGGATTTTTTTAAAGCATACTTTTGAGGACTAAAATAGGCGTGGATTTTTTTAAAGCATATTTTTGAGGACTAAAATAGGCGTGGATTTTTTTAAAGCATATTTTTGAGGACTAAAATAGGCGTGGATTTTTTTAAAGCATATTTTTGAGGACTAAAATAGGCGTGGATTTTTTTAAAGCATATTTTTGAGGACTAAAATAGGCGTGGATTTTTTTAAAGCATATTTTTGAGGACTAAAATAGGCGTGGATTTTTTTAAAGCATATTTTTGAGGACTAAAATAGGCGTGGATTTTTTTAAAGCATATTTTTGAGGACTAAAATAGGCGTGGATTTTTTTAAAGCATATTTTTGAGGACTAAAAGTAGGCGTGGATTTTTTTAAAGCATATTTTTGAGGACTAAAATAGGCGTGGATTTTTTTAAAGCATATTTTTGAGGACTAAAATAGGCGTGGATTTTTTTAAAGCATATTTTTGAGGACTAAAATAGGCGTGGATTTTTTTAAAGCATATTTTTGAGGACTAAAATAGGCGTGGATTTTTTTAAAGCATATTTTTGAGGACTAAAATAGGCGTGGATTTTTTTAAAGCATATTTTTGAGGACTAAAATAGGCGTGGATTTTTTTAAAGCATATTTTTGAGGACTAAAATAGGCGTGGATTTTTTTAAAGCATATTTTTGAGGACTAAAATAGGCGTGGATTTTTTTAAAGCATATTTTTGAGGACTAAAATAGGCGTGGATTTTTTTAAAGCATATTTTTGAGGACTAAAATAGGCGTGGATTTTTTTAAAGCATTGAATAGACCACAATTTAATTTTTTGTCAAATTTTTATTTATTTTAAAAAAAAAAATAAAAAAAAACTTTTTAAAAAATATCTCCCTTTCAATAAATTTCACATTTCTTCTCCGGGTTCATTTTACTACCCACCGGGCAATTAAATTCCTTAGAGAATTCGGCAAAATTCGACAGTGGACCTAAAACTCTAAATTTATCCGGAACATGTATATCGATAGCCATCATTGTTGAACGCAATTTCGAATAGAAATCGGAACACCATAAATAACCATAACTGGTAAAGAACAATTGACGATAATTGAATTCGTCCATGCCGGGGAAGGATTCTAAATTTCGTTCCATTTCCTTGCTGTTGTCATACCAATAGAGATAGGCATTATAGGCCAAGCGGACACCACTGTTATCGGCAATATTTTCATCTTGATTGGGCATTTCGGATAAATGTTGACCGGCATAAATGAAATCCTTATATTGATGTATTAAACATTCGGAACGTTTTTTAAATTGTCTATCGGAATTCGAGTCCCACCATTTACGATTATTACCCAGAGCATCATAGGTACGACCATCACCATCAAAGCCATGAATGAGTTCATGGGATAGCAAGGCTCCAAGGACGCCAAAATTGAAGGCATTTGGAAAGGCGGCAGACCAGGCATAATTGGGTTGTAGCATAGCCACAGGAACCTTAATCGTGTTCTCTACATAAATATAGGCCGGGGTGGTAGATAACTGTTCGCCATAATCATTTTGTCGTGGAGTATCGCCGATATTGCTACGATCATAGATGGCATAGGACGAAAGCATCTTCTTTAAGTTTCCCAAATAGTCCTCACTATCAAATTCCAATGGTCCTAGGATTTCTGAGAAATTTGTATCCTTGAAGGAAACAATTTCCACTTGCATTTTCTTTAGCTTTTCCAAGGCATATTGCCGAGTCTCTTCCGATAACCAATTCAAATGGGGCGATTGTAGTTGTTTGTGAAAGGCCGCCTTGATGTGAGTAAACATCTCCTGGACCCCCTGCTCCGTTTCAAGGCTATTGTATTTGCGATAAACCATATTGTCGAAATTTTTATGGAAATATTTTTTCATACGTGTCAGACAGGTATCTTCCAGTTCGTTCTTGGTTTCGGGTATATCCATAATGAAGGCATTACTCAGGCGATAGAAAATGTAGTTGGCCAGGACTTTTTTCGGGGTGGTTTTCAAAACTTCCAACAGATTGTCCATGTAATCATCGTCGGTGTAAATTTTCAATGAAGGTAAGGTACCCACTGCAAGTTTTACATAGTGCTTTATATCAAATTGTGAGGCGAATTTCTCTTGGGCCTCGTCTAGGGTGCGCAGAACATAAGTTTCACTTAACTTGTCGCCAGCATGTTGATCAAACATGGCCTTGGCAATGGATCTTTCAAATTGTAAAAATTCCGTTGCTGTTGTCAAGGCCACATCCTCCGCAATGCCAAGAAATTCCGTTAATCTACCCGCATAAGCTGGTGGTAGTCGTTCAAAAAGCACATCCGCATTGGGTCCCACATATAACTCCCGGGGTAAATCGAAATCTTGTTCGGAAATATATAAACGATTCACGGTGTTGTTAACAAAATCCGTTGAAAATTCCAATTGCATGAGAATTCCAAAACCATATTTATAGGCAATTTTGCCCACTACCTCCAGCCAGTCGAATTCCGCCTCCTGCCATTTATCACCCACCAAGGCTGGCATTTCACCAAATTCTTTAATAATCTCCTGCAGCTTTGCCGGGTACTTCTCTGCCAAATCTGTTATTTGCAAACATGAGCGATAATAACTTTTCACTTTCCGATCCGCATCTGAGTCATCCTTATCATCGGTATTTAAAATTGTTTTGATTTTCGCATCCAATTTACTTTGCAAGGTCTCCAGCAGTCCAGTACCCGGTTCGCCCAATGTGGCCGGATTATAGGTAGCATAATTACCACAGACATAATCATAGAAATCATCACAAGGATCCACAGTTTTATTCATGTATTTCAATAATTCCTCAGCTTTAGTTTTACGTTCGGCAGCTTCATTTTTGTTTTGTACCGGAGAGCTATGTATCTGCCACACACAAAGTAGCAGCGGAAGAAGAACGCTTAAGCGTATTAACATTGCGTTTTTTTGAAATGTGTTCGTCTTGAAACTAAATCGGAAACTGAATTCAAATTTGCAGTGATTGTCTTTTAAAACACATCTTGAGCCGCTGATTAGAATTGCACTTTAACACCCCGCCTCAATTCATAAACAAGTGAACCTGTACAATACTTTGTGTGTGTGTCCGATATTTTGATGATTTGTTTTGTTTGTTCTGGGTTTGCTGATATGATTTTGATAATATAACTCATTTCTGAGTTCAGTTGCATTTAACTGTGTTATCGCACTGTTTTGTGCTATAATAACCTAACCTAACACAGATCACAATTTTTGCATCGATCGCATTTCTTTGCTTCTGATCATTTCTGCAATAAATGAACTTTTAATTATTTTTTGTTTGCGATTATCATCGGTGGTCTACATTACATCCCATAGTCTAACTCAAACATACCACATATGGCAATGGACAGATTTTGTCTCATATTATTTAAATAACCTTTTACAAAATGAGGTATAAAATTGAAAATCTACATAATAAAACAAAATTGTAGCTTAGTGATTGCATTCAGGCACCACTGTCCTCGCTTGTCGATATCTGCTGCCTGCCCTTATAAGGTACCTACCTACCTCTCGTTGGCTACTTACCACATTTGTCAGCCGGCTTCAACTATGATCCGAACGGAAATGAGTAGCGGACGGAGAGGGATCGTATAAACATTGGAATTTGCGACCGCCTTGAACCGAAGTAAACAAATTTGAGTTGTTTTCAAAATACACTGAATTATCTTTCGACATTCACAAACATAGGTCGTTGTGCTATAGTTTTGTATCTCTTCTGAGTCTGATTCTTTCTTGACTAATGCAGAAACCAAATGCTGATACGATTTTTGATAATTTTCATGCATTTGACTTTAATATGAGAAATTTTTCATTGAGTGAAATACTTTTGGCATATAGGGCCTGTTTCCGTACTAAAAATGTTGGTAAAATGTTTACAATTATAAAGGCAACAATTAAAAACAATTTCGATTAATAGAAGATTCTTTTAAGCTTTGGTAAATTAGAATATGCTCGAATACTTCACTGCGAAAAATGAATGTTTAAATTTTGATCTGCAAATAAGAAGGTAATAGCTCGAAGAGATCATTTCCCGTTGCCCGTTGCAACCATGACAATCCTAGATACTACCATTAAAAGTTGATAAGGCATATACCTGTCGTCCAAAAAGACCATACGATCTGCAAGCTATAT